CTAATAAATTTACTATATTACTTATCCCCGATGATCCTTAATAATGATCTGTCGATCACTCCCGAATTACGAATTAAATGATTAAGAAAAATTTTAGGCGGTTAAATTGATTACATGTGATCAAATACGTATACAACTGATCTTTCCAGTCGCTAACAATTGCTAATGTTTGATCAAAAATTTGCTTCAAAAAACATTCGCATAATACATTTTATTTCACTTCTTCGTAGACGACGTCTTATTCTCGTATGTCTTATCCTTTCACTTCCTTTTTTATTTTTTCTGACTTGGATAAATTCCAACTTAGCTTTGGCTGAAATACAAAATAATTTCAGTGTTGAATCTTCAGTCAATATCTCTTTCAACAATGTCCAAATTTGCAATGATAACAATGTTTGTTCTTTCTGGAAACCAAAGTATTGGAAGGATAGTGATTTACAGAGAGAACACATTTATCACAATATAAGAACGATTCAAGTTCCAATGGGCATGAGTGTAGTTTTGGTCACTCAAGAAGATAAACGTTTATCGATTCCTTTGGGTTTTACGAATTGTACGGCTCAAGAATTCTGTAATTTGGTAGCACGCTTAGATATTTCAGGTTTGATATTTTATTACTTAATCAATTTTATTTATTCAGCATAAAATTAATTTTGGTGTCATGAATTATTTTATATTAGCTGACTTAAGACTTGCTCTAGAACAAATAGCTAAAATCAGTAAGTTTTAAGGAATTTTGGTTTCCACGATCTTTACATATATTTATATATATATATTATTTTTAATAGCGGACGATAATAATATGCAAGAATTAATTCACCATCATAGGTCAAAACTACATTTTCTCAATAATGATGTGACTCTTATTACTCAATTTTCCGTCAATCGATTAGAGCGTTTTGAACAAGCATTAGCCTCTTGGTCTGGTCCTGTTTCTGTTGTAATGTGAGCTTAAAAAAAAAAAGAAAAAAACAATTCATGTATATGACATAAATTTTAATATCTTTTTTACTGTCTATCATTCTTAGATATCTTACCAATCCACATGATATTCATACACTTATCGATTATTTCAAAATGGACAAAAACATCTACCTTTATAATCGCGTTTCTTTAACCATAATTAAACCCGATTATTCAACAGACTACTATTTAAAATATCCAATCAACAAACTTCGAAATATTGGAATCAAAACGGCACCAACGGATTATATTTTTGTTATGGATGCAGATTTTGTTCCAACTTCTCAATTATACCATATTGCAACTTCTACATTGATCCCTTTATTACTGCAATCATCCTATCCAACCGCTTTCGTGGTTCCATGTGTTGCATTACTTGAAACCTATCGTGGAAAATTTCCAAATACTATTCCTGAATTACGAAGTTTGTTTCGCCAAGGTATTGCTTATATAACTGATCCGAACGTAGGTCACGGTCCAACTGGAACAAACATTTTTCTTGCTCATCAATTGTACACTTCATTACCTTATTATGAGGTTTGTTATGAATCTCAATGGGAACCGTATTACATTATATCCAAAAATGCTCCATTATATGATGAACGATTTCGTAATCAAGGTGGTGACAAACAACAACATGCATTTTCACTTAATGCATTAGGGTATAGATTTTTTGTATTGAAAGAACATTTTATATATCATAAAGATCATCCAAAAATAGATTGGCCTGATGGTGGTTTAAGACGTGGACAATTGTCCAAGGATCAATTTAATTATTTTCAGCATTATATTCCGGAAATGCAAAACATATTTGGGTTTAATGTTAGGTGGCCAAGAGGATGCTCTCAACCTTTGATCACAGGTCATATGAGAGACTTGCTTGGAATCGGTTTTGGTTAATTTAACTTTCACCCTCCAACAAAGTTGCAGTTGATTAATTTTTGATCATAATCTTTTTTTTCGAAAAAAACAATCGTTTTAAATGATATTTAAAGAGCTTACATTTATATAACAAAAAATATAGGACTAA